GTCTGTCTGTCTGTCTGTCTGTCTGTCTGTCTGTCTGTCTGTCTGTCTGTCTGTCTGTCTGTCTGTCTGTCTGTCTGTCTGTCTGTCTGTCTGTCTGTCTGTCTGTCTGTCTGTCTGTCTGTCTGTCTGTCTGTCTGTCTGTCTGTCTGTCTGTCTGTCTGTCTGTCTGTCTGTCTGTCTGTCTGTCTGTCTGTCTGTCTGTCTGTCTGTCTGTCTGTCTGTCTGTCTGTCTGTCTGTCTGTCTGTCTGTCTGTCTGTCTGTCTGTCCGTCTTTCTAATCTCAAACTCTAATTAATTGATCGTTTCTTTGGTTACAATATCCAACCCATGCCAAATGACTTATATCGGACTATACATAAAAAGTAATTCAGTAATTAAATAAAAGTAAAAGATTTGATGCTATCTGGCGTGGTGTGGAGTATTAAATTATTGCAATAGTAAACTAAATTTACTATCAAAAATAGTTACTCTTACGTAAAATCTTTCACATTAACGTATTCAACAACAACTTTTCAAATGTTTTTCCAATGTTTGGTTTAAAATTCCCAACTGGCCTTAGCGTCCCGTGCCCCTTTACTCTTAAGTAAAACGCTGAGAAGTTGAGACTTAAATCGGATTTTCAGCTTAGTCTTCAACAAAGTTACCACTCTACAGTGACGTGTCTATGAATTTAGTTTATCATACCCGTTACTCGTAGAGTAAAAGGGTATCCCATATTCGTCGGGAAAGTATATAACAGGTAGAAGGAAGCGTTTCCGACCACATAAAGTATATATATTCTTGATCAGGATCACTACCCAGAGTCCGATCTAGCAATTTCCGTCTGTTCGTCTGTCTGTCCGTCCAGATGAACGCTGAGATCTCGGAAACTATAAGAGGTAGGTAATTAAGATTTGGCATGCCAGATTCCTGAGAAAATATCAACAATAGAGAATTGGGATTTCAGACTTAGATTTCGTAGCCTTGAGCGCCAGCGCAAGTTTGTTACGCGAATATGCCCCACAAACTGCCCAATCCTGTGGCGCCCCACAATTTTCATGCTAGATAAAAAATTTGCCACCCCACTCTTACGCCCACAAACCGCCCCAAACCTGTGGCACCTACAAATTTCATGTTAGAAAAAAATGTTTAACTGAAATGTTTGCCACGCCCACTCTAACGCCCATAACGCTTAAAGCTGTCTACCCCCCACATGTCCCACATATTTTATCAGGGTAGGTGGCGCATTTCAGTCTCGCTTTGCTGCTTGCATACCTCCTTTTCCCTTTTGTCCCTTTAGCTGAGTAACGGGTATCTGATAGTCGTCAATTTTATATAGATTTACCATAAACGACAACGAAACTAAACACCAAAAGTTAAAGTTTATTACTGTGGGCTAAAGGTGTATAAATTTCATTAAAGTAATCCCCTCCCGATAAAATTCACTTATGCCAACGTTTTTTAGCAGTCATCGAAACATGCCAAATAGTCCCTTTTCGTTCTTCGATTTATTTTCTAAATCGACTCGAAACGTGTTACCTGAAGTGGTCTTTTGTGTTTTGAGAAGAAGTCACACGGATCAATATCGGGCGAATACCGTGGTTGCGGAACGACACGCATTGAATGTTTGGCGAAATGGACACGAACAACGAGTGCTTACCTTTCACTCGTGCATTATCGTGATGCAAAAATAAGAGCTGTTGGCCCATTGTTTTAGACGAATTGCTTCACCCAATCGACGCATAATGCTTAAGCCTAGTACCCAGATCGACGAAATCCTCGAGCTAACCATAGGAGTGAGCGAGAGGCAAATACGCGGCTAACCGGTTTTCGTCGGGTCTGTTTTTCAGCGCGGTACTCAGATAAGCTAAGTGAGTGAATTTTCGATGAACGCCGTTAGCCGCGGTCCAAAGAATATGAATTTAATCTTTGCGGTGTTCGTGCAAAGGCGATGTGGAAACTAAAAATTAAAATGGAAAGAAAAAACCGAAAATCGGATGCAGGAGGTCAGTGCTGATGAAATAGGACGCAAAATCCCAAGCTTATTCCCTTTGTTGTGGGATTTCACCGACAGGAAGCAATTCCACAAAAGGGGAAAAGGGGAATCGCAGAAAAGTTGAAGTGCTGGAGGAGATCCACTAGAGAATCCCCAGTGGGAAGGAATATGCCGAGTGGGACTTCGATCTCTACATGGACATCCTGCCGGGCGCGTCCTCGCAAAGAAAGTAAGATCTGGCCAAAAGAATTTGGGTTGCGTTGTACTAATAGAAGTATCTTTTTAGCAGAACCACCAGTACGATCTCTGACGACCTCTCCATTTGGATTCCGGACACCACCTCCACCAACTACTTGGCAGTTTTAAGCGGAGCTGGAGGACCCGCTGGCTTCTATAGGGAGGAGGAAAATAGGGCGCCCGCTAAAGGAACAGTTGGAGAAGCCATACCCAGCCACTGCCAGGATGCTGGGCGACTTCCTGCAGTATCAGCGGATCAACCCCGTTCCCAATCCGGCTCCCACTTCCTCGAGCTCTAATATCCCTATTGGGACTCGGAGCTGGACTGCGGTGGCGCGGGAAAGATGGCGATGCATCCGTGGGACGGGAAGGAAGCCTTAAACTACTAATTTACGTTAATAAAAACATTCTTTGAGCATTCCATTTATTTTTATTTAAATTTTTTGTGTACCAGCAGACCCTTCTTTTTAAAATTGCTCCAATTGATTTGTTTTCCGTTTGGTAACAAGCCCAGCAGCTTGACAGTAAGACCATGCTACATGCGTTGCGGGTGAACTATGAAAACTTCGGTACAAAGAATAAGATTTTTCGACTAGTGAAACTCTTAGCCGATCTGAGTACTAGGCTTTAAATATTATTCCTTATTAACAGTTTGGCCGGGTGGAAGACTCTCATAGAAAACCGCACGACGAAAAGATAATGAAAATACGGTATATACAGGAGTAGAAGAAAATATTATTTAAATAACAAAGCTATAATTGTTTTCCAATGATTTTACCATTATTTATTCGATCGATTCTATGGCAGCTATGTGATACTGCCGTCCGAATCCAATAATAATAATCCTATGAGTAGAAGTTTACATGTCGAAGTTCTTACTCGAATTTCCCTATTATAGCTTTAGGAAATACTGATCTGAACCGGCTCGTTCCGACTTATATCCCTTATATCATCCCGAAAGCCTAGTACTCACATCAACAAAAGCCGCGAGCTAACCATAGGAGTGAGCAAGAAGCAATTACGCGGCTTACACATTTCGTCGGGTCTTTGAGCGTTGTACTCAGATGAGCTAAGGAAATACCAGACAAAATACCAGATTTAGCGTGGGAATTTCGATGAAAACCGTTAGCACGATCCTGCCAGACGTATCTTCGCAAAAAAAGTAAGTTCTGTCCAAAAAAACTTGGTTACGCTGTACAAATAGATGTATTTTTTTTTAGCAGCTCTCCATTGGGGACCCATAGGACTCCACCTCCACCAGCTATTTGGCAGCTAAAGCGGAGATGGAGGACGCACCGGGTTCTATAAGGTGGTGAAAAAAGGGCGCCCGCTAAGTGACAACTGGAGGTGCCATTGCCAGGAGGCGGAACAACCCAGTTCTCAATCCGGCTTCCCCAAGGTCCAATATGCCTATAGGGATTCGGAGCTGTATTACAGATGGCGCGGGAAAGATGGCAAAGCATCCGTCGGACCAGAAGGAAGCTTTAACTAGTAATTTACATAAATAACAAGAAAGGAAGTTAACTTTTTTTTTCGTATTATTTTCCCACCAATTTTCCGATCGTTCCTATAGCAGTTATAAGATTTGATCGTCCGATTTTGATAAAATTAAATTCAAAATTCTGAACAAATTAAAATATGTTATTTCCAAGCGTAGGAGGTTATATGTATAAAAAAACACCAAAGATAATATTAAAAAAAAAATTTTTCCGATAATTCCTATGGGAGCTATAAGATATAGTTGTCCGATCCGGCTTGTTCCGACTTATATACTACCTGAAAAGGAAAGAAGACTTTTAGGCAAGTTTCAGCCCAATAGAGAGAGAAATGAGAGACTAGTTTGCGTAGAAACAGACGGACAGACGGCCAGACGGAGAGACGGGCAAACGGACAGACGGACATGGCTAGATCGACTCGTCTAGTGATGCTGATTTTTTTATGGGGTCGGAAACGCCTTCTTCACTGCGTTGCAAACTTCTGACTGAAATCATGATACCCTCTGCATGGGTTTAAAAACATTCGTTGAACATTCCATTTATTTTAATTTTAATTTTAATTTCTTTGTGCCCCAGCAGACTCTTCTTTTTTAAATTGCATCAATTGATTTGTTTTTCGATGGCAACAGACCCAGCTGCTTGACAGTAAGACCATGCTACATTCATAGCGGGTGAGCGTTGAAATCTTCGGTCACACTACATAGAATACGATTTTTCGAATTAGCCAATCAGAGTACTAGCATAAAAGCTTTAAAACTGAGAGACAAGATTGCGTAGAGACGGACAGACGGACGGACAGACAGACGGACATGGCTCGATCCACTCGTCTATTGATGGTTTAATAAGGCATACAAATAGTTGGCTAACTAGATATTATGGGTTTGATAACTATAAAAATTGTTTTTTGAGTACAATCCCTTTTTATAGTTATATAATTATTTTTTATAGTAACCCTTACATAAACAATTTACGTAGTAGTAACTATTTAATAAATCAAATCTTCAATTCGATGTGTCGGTCGCATTTTATTGATAAACAACCTGTAATCTAATTCATACTTTAACAAAATCTTCAAAGATTAAGGCGCAAGACAACTTAAGCGATATTGTCTTTTGTTTGCCTTAGAGTAGGCGTGCCTCTCGGCCGAATCAAACTAGCGCTGAGTTGGAGTCCTTAGAATCTGTATGCTTGATCATGATTTCTATGAGTAACGGACAGGCAGACCGGTCTCCGCTGGTGATTCTAGTCAAGAATATAATACTTTACATAATTTCCAACGAAAATTAAATACCTTTTTTTAAGATAAATTAAACTTTAATCATTTTCAAATAAAGGGGCTACAACTGCTGCAAGTATTTGTGACTTTGTGAGACGCGGCCGATGGAGCGGTTGTTGAGCCGCTTGCGTTTATCGGGCTTTAGAAGACTGGCGGCCTTGCTTAGGATGTCCGAAATCTCAGGGGCGGAGTCTACGGCCTCTGATGCTGGGATGGATGTGGTCACCGCCTTTTTATCTTCATGAGAGTCTTCATCCTCGGAACTTTCCTGGTGCGTGCCAAAAACGGGATTGGGGTGCTCTGAGGTGAAAGGCGTCGGAGTGCTATTAGAATAGTTCAGCTTCTCTGATCTTTCGGTGTACGCTTTAGAGTGCGGTGCTGCTTCTGTGGTCGAACTGATTTCATCGCTCTGCTTAAATTTGAGTACCTGCTGAAAGAGATTGGGCGCTGGAACATTGGAAGCCGGCGCTCCTAGGATTCTGTTAAAGGGATTAAAAGGGTTAGTGGCTCCAAATGGGCCAAAAGGGTTTAAACCCATGCCAAATTGCCTTCCAATGCCGAATGGACCACCCACCTGGTGTTCCATGTCATATTCCTGGGTTCCTGTCTGAGGATTCATTCCAAAGAGACTTCCAAACTGGGTACCCAACCCAAAGCCACCTCCGAAAGGACTTACCACAGGACCCTTATCAAGACCAAAGGGAATGGCCTTGGTTTGACTTCTAACTGTTCCAGGTGGGGTTCTCGGCATAGCAACGTAGGGTGTCGGCTGCCGTTGCCCGTAGCAAGGCATGGTTATAATAACTGGCTGGAAATTTGGACAGGAGGTTTTGAGGCTCAAACCGACATTCCGCTGCGTTAGGCATTGAAAAGGGGGTACAGAGGCACTATGTCCACTGCAGTGTTGGTTGGGGGCAGGTGAAAGCTTAACTTGAGAGTATGTTGAAGGAGGAGATGACAGCGTTTCTCGAGCTGAAGCTCCTGGGTATTGACTATCGAAAGCACTGTATCCAGACGCCATTTTACTTATCGGTTCTAAAGGAACAGATGCCGGTTTGTTATCAGCTGGTGCCATGGCTTCCGCGCTTGTAAAACTTCTGTAAAAAGCTTTCATAACCGGATCATTTTCGGGTCCCTGCGTATGTGACAGAGATACCCACATCAACTGATCCTCAGGATACGGCTGGTTTTCTGGTCTGCACAGTTCTTGGTTGAGCTCGTCCTGCTGAAACCGCAAAGTCGGCACGGCCAGCACATCGCTTTTGCAATTAAATTGATGCCCGACCATTTCCTTATTGTTTGGGTGGTTCGACGACCTTGTAGGTTCCGCAGAACTATGTGAATGGGTCGTGGCCGCTGCGCCAGGTCCAGTTGAAATTCCTGGTGAAGCTGCTGGCGGGCTGTCCACAATTGGTTGAGAAAATGTTGGCAAGCCATACGACGGCGCTGAAGGTGCAGACGAAGGGGCAGCCAAGTGGTTTCCGTAGAATCTGTAATGGGCGTGGGGCTGTTGCTGCTGAGGAAGAGGGGGATGGTGGGGCTTCTTCTGATATGATGTCGAACCTGCTGGCTGCTCCTGTTGAATGTGATCTTCTGAGACTGCCTGCTGAGGAGTTGACCCGACTTCAAAGGCGGGAACCGACGGAAAGTTGTGAACGGAATCATGTTGTATGGCGTAATGCGAGTTTATAGCTGGCGAAAGTCCTGGGTTGGGTCCTCGGCACATATAGAACGGCTCTCCCTGACCGCCTTGGTTCCTAACCTCCACACAATTTTGCTGCCCATTTTCGCCACCAAAGTTATCATCCCGGCACATATAATAAGGCTCATTCTTTAAACCACCTGGCGTAATCTTCACACAGATTGTAGTCATGGACCGCTTGCTGCGATGTAGCAGCCCAACAGAAATTGGTATGTCTTCTTGGCCGACTCCAGTTGCACCTGGAGGTACCAATAACGCGATGGCCAGACATGACAGGAACATCAGTTTCAAGGTCTGTGGATAAGTACCCATGCTTATTTTCCATTTATAACTTCCGACTGTGGTGGGTGGCGCTTTTATAGTCTTGAACTGTCTGTTAGGAAGGAAAATTATTTGACCATGTAGCCAACCAACGTCACCAAATTACCAAACTGAGTTCTTCGAAGCAATATTTTGTCATTTCTTCTCTTACCTTATTTATGTTTTCTCTTTTTTTGATCTGGTAATTCGAGTTTATTTCGCTTGAAACTCGTATCAATGAATAAGAACTATGCAGAGAACATTTTCGATCGGAAGCATTCACTTTATCCCCATTTAATCGTACTTTGAATAATTTAATGGGTTATATACACTTGATCTCGACGAAAATACAAAGTAATTTAATTTTTTAAATTGTAATTTTTAAGCCAACAAACATATTTTTAAGTCTAAAAAATAATAAATATTTAAAAAAATCCATCCAAAATATTTTCAAAAGCTGAAGTTTCTTAGCCTATTAAAATATTTTGGATCGATTTTTGTGTTTGTGTCGTGTCTTCCACAAGACAATTGATAGCGAATTAGCATACAAAACGAATTTTTTTTCAATAAAAAGTAAGATTTGATATTTAACTATTCCGCTAAAAAAAAAGAAGTCGAACAAAATACCAATGTATTATACCCTTAAGGAGCTTTTCCGAAAGAATTATTTGTATATGACGTTATTGGTATTTATTGTGGTAATATTGTATACTTTTTTTTGCAATAATTTTGTATACCTAACCAGTAACGATCCATATTTTTACCTCGCTAAAATAATTTTTTCTTGATATAAAGTATTTCTTACTGGTGATGATAAAGAACTATACTGAAAAATGTTCTATAGCATTTCATTTTATTTTGGCGTACTGGAGTTTGTTGTCCTAAGGTTTTGAACAATTTTCGAATAGTCAGAACTTTAGTAGAGTGTGTGGACACATGTCACACAACTGTTTAGAAAGTGCTCAATAATCTAAAGGGGTCTGTCGGTCAGCGAGTATCAGTTGGGTGTTTATGCTACTTCTTTGTAACTGCTTTGACATATTTGAAAAATAACACTGAAGTGCGCTGGGATGTCTAATAAACAAATTTTCATTTATATACATTAGGGTGGTCCTAAATAAAGAACTATTTGACACAAAATAATAAAAGAAGTTAACTTCGGCAAGCCAAAGTTTGTATACACTTGCAGTTGAATTTATTAAATTTAAGAATACGAAAAATAATATTCCCAATAGTATAAGATAATATGTCAAAAAACGCCGAAGCTATAATTTGTTTCATTTTATTTTCCCACCAATTTTCTGATCGTTCCTATGGCAGCTATATGATATAGTCGTCCGATTTTGATAAAATTAAATTCGAAACTCTTCTTTCTTGGGCAGGTAGTGTATAAGCCGGAAACAGCCTGATCGGATAACCATATCTTATAGCTCTAATAGGAATAATCGGAAAAAAATATTTTAAAACAAGGAAGAACGCTATAGTCGAGTACCTCGACTATCAGATACCCGTTACTCAGCTATATGGAGATATGCAAGCAGCAAAGCGAGATTAAAATGCGCCACCTACCGGCGGTATACAGATTTAAGCGTTATGGGCGTTAGAGTGGGCATGGCAAATTTTTTTTTGGATCAATCGATAGGTATCGACGAGACCAATACATTTCAGTTAAAATTTTTATTCTAGCATCAAAACTGTAGGAGCCACAGTTTTGGGCGGTTTGTGGGCGTTAGAGTGGGCGTGGCACTGTGCTGAAACAAACTTGCGCTGCGTAAGAAGCTCAGGAATCTGCACGCCAAATCTCAATAGCCTAGCTACCATAGTTTCCGAGATCTCAGCGTTCATCCGGACGGACAGACAGACGGACATGGCTAGATCGACTCGGCTAGTGATCCTGATCACGAATATATATACTTTGTGGGGTCGGAAACGCTTCCTTCTGCCTGTTACATACTTTCCGACGAATCTAGTATACCCTTTTACTCTACGAGTAACGGGTATAATTATATCTTTGGTGTTTCTTAACATATAACCTCCTTGTCTTATACCATTGGGAATATAATTTTTTGTATTCTTAAGAATTTCTTATTAAATTTAATAGTTCTAACTGCAAGGGTATACAAACTTCGGCTTGCCGAAGTAAACTTCCTTTCTTGTTTAACATATAACCTCTAACGCTTGGAAATAATTTTAAATTTTTTAATTAGACCTGAATTTCGAATTTAATTTCATCAAAATTTGGACGACTATATCATAAAGCAGCCATAGGAACGATCGGAAATGTGGTGGGAAGATAATATGAAACAATTTATAGTTTCGGTCTTTTTTGACATATTATTTTATACCATTGAGAATACAATTTTTTGTATTTGTATCAACTTTGAATTAAATTTAAAAAAAAATCGAACGACTCTAACATATAGCTGTCAAAGAAACGTTTAAAAAAATAATGAAATAATTATTTTTTAAAAAATGTTGCTTTGTTGATTTTGATCGTACATTCTTTTACTCTGGGATAAAGAATATTATAACTTTTCAGCATTACGAATTTAATTTTACACAAATTTCACTTAAGCTAGCAACAATCCTTAAAAATTTAACATGGTGTTACTAGCATTGATTATTTCTTATAACTGCAAGGGTATAAAAACTTCGGCTTGCCGAAAATGGTGTAAGTTTCAAAAGGTTAGTGGTTGTTGATTTATGGTTCATTAGCTCATGTTTACACGGAGATATAACTGATCTATAGAGGGGCTGCAAGTGGGTAGTCATACTATTTTCAAAGAGCTTTGGGATCGCTGGCAATTTAGAGATACCTCTATAATTGCATTCGTCCACATTGCATCCCTTCTTGTGGAGAAAAATTACAAACGATTCCTTTCACATATTGAGAAATTGTGAAGATTCTAAATGTAAGGTAAATAATTTGAGAAGCGGCTGGTATAGGGTCTCCGCGCAATATCTAAGCACGCAGCCAGGAATTCAATCAGGACAATCAACAAGCAAAGAGCTTTCGTTTAAGGTGGAACAGAATATTTAATTCGACTTGGATAAAGTGCAAGAATAAGGCTGTCAAGAATGAGGTAAAGCAGAATATGTCGTTTGAAAAAACTTGACAAAAATATCGGCTATCGCATGATCTGTTGTTGTTGTAATATTTTCAAAAGATAACGAAGAAGGATAATTGGTGGATTTACGCTTAGTGTTAGCAAAATTGTAAAACTTTCTCGGGTTCTGAGAGAATTGAACTTTACAGTGATTGAAATAGAGAGTTAAGCACGGTAATACTAGACAAAATTTCATCACCCATATTTTGGTATGAGTAGAGGTCGGACCAATTAAGGCCAGATATATAAAAATGTAGCCGCTGTCCTGATATAGATCCTGAATAAGAATATATACTTTATGGGGTCGCAAACGCTTCCTTTTACCTGTTACATACTTGCCGACGAGTCTAGTGTAACCTTTTACTCTACGAGTAACGGCTATAATTATCTTACGAATTAATCAATTATTGTAAATATATTTTAGACACGATAAGAAAAATCGACTTCAATTATTTGGAACTTTGACGAGTTCGTCACCTTGCCCTACTCGTCACCTAGATACTTGTATCATAAAAATATCACTTTACTATTTAAAATTGTTGTATATGTCATAGCTCAAGGTTTCGTTATTATTTAATAGTTAAACCACTATTAACATAGTTATGTTCCAGTGATGTGTTTTTTGTTATTGCAATTGAATATAGGAAATTAACTATTACTATTACTACAGTGACGTAATTATAGGTTGGAACCATCCCACCCCTTTTTATAATTGCAAAACTATTTTTATAGTAGCACTTACGATTACATAATTTGTGGGAGTAACTATTTAATAGTTCAAATGGCCAATTCAAACTAGTTGTTCCCATTTTTATATTATAGTGGTCAAGTTTACCATACGGTTTTTTGCAAGTATCTAAAGTCGCACCTTAGATGCGAGTGGAAATTAGCCCTTACAATTGTCTATTCAAGGCTTCATCGCTTTAATTTACCGATAGCTCTTTTTCTAGATGAGTGACACATATCAAAAAATAGCATTTTGAGATAAACGTATTTAAAGATTTGACGAAGTTGTTATGTGGGCATATTAGTGCCTGAGTCCTGACAGGGACTTGGGCCGAGGGAGAGGCGTCCGATATTCTGGCACCATTTGCCGGCATAAGCTACGTCGTATTCGGGTCGTGGGATCTTGGTAAGCCTCTCTCCTCTCCAACATAACGAGAATAAATATTAAAAGTGCCTGGAAAAATAATAATAGTCATCAAGTTCGTCAGTCATCAGTCCACACTGCCCAACAAGCTTAGCTGTCGCTTGATCGCAATACGATCGGGCTGTGTGTTGGCCATATTCCCTCCCCTTCACACATTCGTGTGCCAATGGATCGTCGCGGGCCGCGCAATACGATCCCCTATTGTCAAGGTTGTCCGTCGAAAGTTATGTCATTGTTCTTGACCTACTTCACTCCTCGCGTCAGCACACCCCCTTTGTTATAGTTCTAGCACACCATGGTTTTCAAATTCTTTTTCACGTTATAAATTTAATAAATAATATTTAGGTCGGCGTGCGCCGGTGTTGAATAACATAATATTGGCTACTTCATATAGGAATCAAACTAATTGACAATTATTGTTTTAGCGGAGAGTATCGAATTTATCACCTATGAAGGTGCACACATCAGAAAAATACTGATTATTCACGACTACAAACGTCGCTCAGAGGGCTCTTGCAATTATCAAATAACTACAAGGCTGATACTCGCCGCTGCAAAAGTTTATAGTAGTCTATAAAATTGTAGGATACTGCACGAATATTTATATATGTATGTTTATAAGAAAGGAACCGTGTCCCGACAAACTTACCCCCTCTTTAAATCCTGGGCGATGAGATCTCGACGCTCCGGATCCTGGGCTTTGGGAAAATATTATGTTGGATATATATATATAAATATACGTGCACCAAAATATGGCTGTTCTTAAGTTTATCAATTCACTTAAACACAAAATATATATATATTATGCTAGAGGCATGCGACTTCTTCAACGGCTGGTGGAGAGATTCGTCCTCTCTAATTGTTTATCATGATTCGCACTTTGTCTATTGATTCGGTTGGTTTAAATATATTTCAATGCATGTTTGAATGCTTGATTTTCACTTGTTATCCAATTGTATTATTTGAGGATATTGGTCCTTGGTTATGCATGAGTTCACTTTAGCTTTGGTTGGCTCGATTAACACATTTATATTGCATCACTACTTTCTCCGACGTATGCTATTGGTCGCTACGCTCTGAACGGATGGTTCCTACAGCTGAACAAATTTCAGGAGCATGGAGATCACGGATACTGCGTCCACAAACATCGCAGTATGTCGGATGTCGTCCTTATTGTTGATCTTCTCCACGTTCTTTGATGGCAATAGCGGCGCTGGTTCGACACAAGATTATTTCGAGCTGCAATGGTGTTCTCCTCAAGGACTGTTGGATATGGTGGCTAGTCCTGGTGGCAGAAGACTCCATGGACGACTGCCCCAGGGAAAGTCGCCTTCCCTCGAAGCTGCCGGCTTCCGTCAGCAAGACACCCAAATGGATTCTCTCCCTTTCTCTATTTGTCTAAGGTCTTTTATACCAGACTAGAGCTTTTACTTGGCTGCGGGTATGGATCGGATAAACTAGGTGTTCCCACCTAGAATTACTGTTTCTTGATATCTGCTATCTTGGAAGTCAACGGCCGGCTGTTGCCCTTTGCCAGCTACCGGAGTATGGTTACCAATAGGTTGATAGTGGCCGTTTGCTTTTTCTTCTGCCTTTACCAGTATGAGTCTGGTTAGTCACATGCACCCCTCCCCCTGGCTAAAGATTCGTCGTTGTTTCTCTATGTGAATCTTTCTATGTGGAGGGCGTACGTAACAGGCTCGAAGTGATCGATGCGGACCGCATGGAATGACTTCGCAAAAGGAATCTGCGTACGACCATCGTTGTCTGTTCCATGTTTCTTCTCCT